AAGATTAATAATCCCGTTACCTAAGTATTAAGCCCTCGTCCCTTTTCTTTTTTGACGCTTTTATCTAATGGGATTTTAACAACCTCTTCTGAAAATTATCGCTGATGGTGCTTGTGATTGAATGAAATATATCCCAGGCTCTTCTTATGCACGTTTGAATTTTTCCAAGCATTTTTAACATTTTATTTGCCGCCCTAGCGTTCGAGAGCGAACTATCATTGAATTCAGCTGATTCAATTATAAAAAAACTAAAAATTTATATGAAAAACGTGAACTTACAGATCAGTTGACATATATCAATTTTAGTTTGTTAAGTGGCTTCATTAAAAAATTCCAGACCGAGCAAATGTCTTTGTTTGAGTCAATTTCAACAGCTTCAATAGCTACTTGAAATTTTAAGAATTTCATCATTAGATGCAACAGTTGATAATATTTTATTTGGAACCTGAACAGATTGCATCATTTAAGTATCCAAGTACAAAAGCATATTAAGCGATAAGAGACAAAAATTAACCATAGAACACGGAGCGAGATCAGGCGAGTAAGGTGCATGGGGCAGAGGAACCATGCCATTTTTAGCCAAAAACTGCTTAACAGAAATGGCTGTGTGTGCAGGTGCATTATCGTGGTGAAAGAACCAGTCCCCTGTCCGCCACAAATCGTGCCTTTTTTGTCGAATACAGTTGCGCAATCTTCTTAAAACTTCCAGAAAAAAAAACTTGATTAACGGTCTCACCTGGTGGAACGAATTCTGCATGAACTACGCCGTTGATGTCGAAAAAGCAAATCAGCATCGTTTTGATGTTTGATTGGACCTGACGACATTTTTTTGGACGGGGAGACAGTGACGCCTTCCATTGGATGGACTGTTGCTTCGTTTCTGGATCGTAACCATAGCACCATTACTCGTCACCAGTAATGATCTTTGAAAGAAAATCTGGATCCGTTTGAAGCTGTTGATTCAAAGCACAACATGTTTCAACTCAATGTTCTTTTTGCATGTCAACAAACTTGGCAGCAACTCTTTTCAAACCCAAATCTTCGGTTAAAATTCGCTGAACCGTGCTCCAAGAGAACCCACTAATCTTTGATATTTGTTCAATTGTCTGTCGACGGTCTGTGAGCACAAACTCTCGAATCTTTTCAATATTTTCGTCGATTCGAGCAGGTAACGGACGTCCAGAACGAGGTCGGTGATCAATTGACTCGTCGCCATTTTTGAAGCGAACAAACCACTGGTACACTTGAGTTTTTCCCATCGCATCGTCTTTATAAGCTGTTTTTAACATTGAAACAGTTTCAGCAGCACTCTGCTCGAATTTTCCCTGTAAATGTGATTTTACCTTACAGGACTAAATGAAATTTGAAAAATTCATTGTCACAATCCGTTAAAAATCAGTTTCTATTAAAAGAGCTTACTGGACTGTGATGGCCCATCAATAATACTGAAATACTGAATATCGCTATATGCATTTCATTATGATAGAGCAAATCGAAATGCAGATCAAGCACGACGGCTTTATGTCGAGGCTTATCCCGTCTGCTAAGACATGCATCAACATATACGGAAGATTTCGTAAAAGGGAATCATTCAAACGTGATAATATGAATAAAGGCAGAATGGGGCATAAAAAAAAACCGCTGGAAGAGAAGAAAGAATACTGCAACATGTGAGGGCCGACCCGTCAACGAGTACGACAAAACTTGTTGCTCAGGAAAGAATTGCTTGCTCTACAGTTTGGGAAGTTTTGCATGAAAATGATCTTCGGTCCTTTCATGTTCAAAGTGTTCCATCATTCAATGCATACCGTAGATTTGTAGATATTCGGCTCTAAAAAAAACTTATTGTTTGAGGATAGACGCCTACTGTATAGGGTAGTTGCCCCTGGCAAAATTTCGACATGAGTATAGACGCCCTACAATGGGATAGATGCCTCCGTAATAAAGAAAAAAATTCTTAGAAAATTAAATAAAATATTTGTTTGCTTTCTTAGTTGCAATAATATATTATAAGGTTTTCTTATCCAAATATACCGTAAAACTAAAGTAAATGGCACTTTTATAGGAACAAATGGCTCAGTCTTTCAATCATTCTTTGGGTAAACTTAGCAACATAACAACGTCTATTAAAAATTAATTAAGACTTTCTTCTTCTTTTTAAAGTGCCGGTCCTCTGTGGACGTTGCCTATCACGTTGGTCCATATTACTTTGTTTACTGCGGATCTGAATAGGGCTGTTGATGTCATTCATTGATTTTCCCCTGTAAGATGAGTTGGAGTAGGTGGTATTTCTCATTGCGCATAATGTGTCCAAAGTATTCCAGTTTTCTGCGTTTGATGTTTGCTAGGAATTCCATTTCTCCTCCGATGCGCTCAATGACCGTTTTATTTGTCACATGATGTACCCACGAAATTCTGAGGATGCGGCGGTAGCACCACATCTCGAAGGCATCTATACGTTTGCACGAGGCATCGGTAAGGGTCCATGCTTCTGTCCCATAAAGGAGGACCGAGAGAACATAACAGTTCAGGACCCTTATTCTAGTGCGGACGCTGAGGGGTAGGTTACAGAGTATGTTTCTCATTTTGTTAAATGTGCTTCTTGCTTTTTCGATTCGGCACTTTATTTCTCGAGAGTGGTCCCAATCTTTGTTCAAAGTACAGCCCAGGTATGTAACTGTCTCTGCTGTTTTGATGGCTTCGTTGTTTGCAGTAAACTGTAGGTTTCCAATATCGTTTTTACTGATAATTAATATTTGTGTTTTGTTACAGTTTATCTTCATACCGTATCCTTCGCATGCAGTCGCCACTCGGTCCACAAGTCTCTGAAGCCCCTCGGCAGTGTCGGCCACAAGAACGGTATCATCCGCATATCTCAAGTTGTTTATAATTTGACCATTTACTACAAGTCCGTCCTCTGTATCATCCAATGCTTCCTTGAATAGATGTTCTGAATACACGTAAACAGGAGAGGTGACAGTATGCAGTCCTGGCGCACTCCCCTTCCAACGCTAAATTCTGCTGGCATTTACCAGACTTTACCGAACTAAATTTAGGAATAATAAAACATAAAACAAATCCGTCCCTTAGGACTTCTTTGGAAAAAAACTTCCTTCTTAAAAAAAATTAACAGTAATCAAAATGTTCAAATAATCAACAAATATAGAGATACTGTTTACCTTGGCCAGATTACTTATTCTTTGAATTCCCCTTTTCCAGGTTAGCTTTTAGAGCTGCAAGCTTCTTCTTGTGTCCACAGCTATTACAGTAATCGCCATATAGAGTGCAATCTTCGTGTAACCAGAGTTTACACATCAGGCACTGAATCCAGTCCGCCGTGGAGTTGGTACTTGCATAGTCATCGAAACATTCTCTGCATTGAGTATTTTCTTTATCAGATTTAGTCTGGTCAGAATCTGATTCATCGAACTCTTGTTCACTTTCAGAGCTAAACCTCGGTCTTTTTTTTTGTTGATCAGGTTTATCGATCAAATCATTTTCAGTTAGTATTTTTAGCAACAATTCAAACATTTTGTTTACTTCATCTCGATTTAATCCTTGAGCCCTTGCAATAGACAAAACTTCTGCCTGGCGAATACTGAGTTCTGGGTATCGTTCAAGAAATGATTTGAGCCAGTGCTGACCAGCCATACGTGTCTCTTTGTTAAAAGAAATTTCGAAACCCAGTTTCTCGGCAAATTCAAAAGAAGAAGTAAGAAGACTCACATAATGTCCTGTTGTGGGAAATCCTGCCTTTTCTAATTTTTGTATGGCCGCTACGAGACGTTTCTCGTTGTCAAAGTCCAGTGTGGGATGTTTTCCTGAAAAAGAAGAAATTAATGGGTAGAGAAAAAAACTTAGGATTCAAAAAGGGCAAGTATGAAAAAACAAACTAAGAAGACGGTGCCTAAATTGAATTTGGTTAGGGCAATTTATTCCTCTATTAATTACCCAAAGTAAGTTTTTCACAGCTTTTTTTAGCATATCGCCTCCTCAAAGTTCGATATGGAATACCATAACGACGAGATATTTCATTTACACCGACTTGGCCTTTATCCATTTCCCCAAAAGCTTTGCAAAGGGCTTCTTCAGACCAAGCAGCACAAACGGGTGCCCCGCCTTTTATATTTTCGCGGCATATGGTCTAAAATAAAAAATGAAATTAGGTGATACGCTGCATTATTTTTTACAAGTACAGTGAAGTACGACATGTAAAGGTATAAACAGCTCATAAATAAACTGGAAAGTCAATTTTCCTACTAACTTGCATATTAACTAGATAGGTTATTTAAAAAAATCTTACCTATAGCCTAAGTACCTGTGAATAAGTCATAGAGGAAACATGCCTCTAAGGCCGTCTATACTCAGTCAATAGTGGGGCCTCTATCCTCTTTAGTAGGGATAGACGCACCAGCAAATAAATAAAAAATTTTAAAATAATTTCGTGATTTTATAAACACACCATAAATATAAATATAATAAAACTTACCTTCGAAAACGAAAATGTCACTGTCACAAGAATCACGCAAGCGCGGTAAAATTTTGAAACGTTTTTTTAACTCAAGCGGCGACACGTGCAGTCCTGTCGAAACGCGTGCGCAGACTGCTGTGCGGGGCGAGGTTTGCCCGAGGAACTTGGTACTAGAACGTGAACTTGGTTTTAAATTCTCTTTTTTTAAGGCGCGGCGTCTATCCTCCAAGGGCGTCTATCCCACTTTTACCCTATAATGTTTAATTTCCGATTTTTATTAATAATTTTTTATTTTCGAAAATGTTTTTATTGCATTGACCTGCTACCTGCTACTGTTTTACCATCTCTCCTCCAAGTTTTCTAACTCAATTTCCGAATAACACGCATCTCCAGAGTCTATCAAAAAATACGTTCCACACTTAAATCCGCAACTTCCTTATCAAACTGATACCGAATTCTCTATCAGTCGAAAATGATAATATTCTATATAAATATTTAAACGATCGAGAATCAATTCAGTTGCATATAATTGCTTCAACAATGAAAACTATTCTGGTGATCTTTTCGGCGGTTGCTATCGCATCCTCCATCCCCCACGATAAATGGCAGCAATTTAAGGTAGGCAGACCCCCATTTCATCGTTCAATGCTCTACACAATGTTTATTGTTATTATCACAATACGTCGATTTTGACCAACTAGGCCGATCACGCCAAGTTGTACCGGAATGTAGCTGAGGAACAGCGACGCTTCGGAATCTTCCTGGACAACCTCCAGACGATCGAAGAGCACAACGCCCTCTACGCGAAGGGCGAGGTCAGTTACAAGCTGGCCGTGAACAAATTCGCAGACCTCACAAAAGAAGAGTTTCTAGAGAAATACGGCGGCCTAAAGCCTGCCCGGCCGTCCGGTGTCAAGAGCGAAACGTTTAAAAAACCCGTAGGAGTTGAGGTCCCGAAGTCGATCGACTGGAGAGAAAAAGGAGCGGTAACCGCGGTAAAAGATCAGGGAGATTGCGGGGGATGTTGGGCATTCTGCACGGTAGGTGTCGCTGGTAATGCGTCCTTCCATAGCTGATCCGTTCTAATCTCAGATCGGCTCCTTGGAGGGCATGTACGCCATCAAGAACAACAATCTGACGACGTTCAGCGAGCAGAACCTCATCGATTGCGCGTCGGAAGAGAAATACAGTGATTCAGGTTGCTTGCAAGGAATAATCGTACCGACTTTCCAGTATATGGTCGACGAAGGTGTGGAGACTGAGGAAGACTACCCTTACGAGGGAAGAGACGGTAGCTGTAGTCGCGACGAGTCTAAAATCACGGCAAGGGTTCAAAGTTACGTGGAGATACCGCAGTTCGACGAAGACGCTTTGCTTGCCGCCGTAGGCCTGGTAGGACCTGTGAGCGTGGCTTTAGACGCCACGGGGGTTATGTACTACTCGGAGGGTATTTACGACGGGACAGGATACTTCGGTTGTTCCAAAACCCAGCTCAATCACGGCATGGTGATGGTTGGTTACGGGACTGAAGACGGGGTCGACTACTGGATCATGAAGAACTCCTGGGGTACGATCTACGGCGTTGACGGATACGTGAAAGTCAAGAGGGGAAGCAACATTTGCGGCATTGCCACCGAGGCTAGCTATCCCGTACTATGAGATGTTTTTATTTGAATAAAGTTAATCGAGCTATTCGAATTGGCGTTTCGTTTCAGGCGTTAGCTAATCGAGAGCAGCAATTGCTAACGCGAAGGTTGTATGTACAGGGTACCGGAATTACGATTTTAGAAAAAAAAGTTTTATGGTTTAAAGTATTTTTTTTATATATACAGGGTGCCCGATAAGCGTTAGACCGACATTAGTTTTAAAATTTTGCCAAAAACAAAGGTAACTTTTGTAGAAACTACTTAAATGAGGTTAAGTAAATATGGTCTTCCACGGCTGATCAAATTTTAAACAGATTTTTAGAATACTTCCCTCTGCTATGACTAAATTAAAGGACACTTTATTAAAATTTCAACTTGGAGTATTCATTTTTTTTAATGAGACACCCATATTTTTGATATTTTTTTCTCACAGCATATGAAAATACCCACAATGTGGTATATATATGTCTTACACCTAAATCCAATGGTTTTCGAAATACTGACACCTACATTCACTGACATGACCGTCAGAATTGACAAACGTCAAAATTCAAAGCGTGGGAAATATCTTCGAAAACATCCGATTGTTTCCAAATCCGTGCGGTAAAACCCCGGAAATGTCCGAAGTAGGTCGGATTCATGGGAAACGAAACTGACGTAGTAAACTGACGCTTCCGGCAGGCTAGATCGGTGTGTAATTAGGTATTTTACAGACGGGAGTAGAAAAACTACTTTGAATGTTGTATGTACGGGGTAGGCACTTTATTAGGCGCCTGTACCTTTTCTCAGTAACTCCTGATTTTAGAAAAAAAAAGTTTATACAAAAGTTTTTTGATTAAATTATATTTTTTATTTCTATATATACAGGGTGTTCGATAAGTGCTGGACCGACATTAGTTTTAAAATTTTAAACGGAACATCCTATGCATTTTGATATTTTTAAAATCCTTGCCAAAAACAAAAATAATTTTTTTCCACTCCCGTCTGTGAAATACCTAATTACACACTGATCTAGCGTGCGGGAAGCGTCACTTTAGCGCGTCAGTTTCGTTTCCCACGGATCCGAGCGACTTCGGACATTTCCGGGATTTTACACAAGAGTTTGGTAGCAATCGGATGTTTTTGGGGGATATTTTTCAGGCTTTGAATGAAGTGTGCACAAGTTCCAAATTTATTTATTCATGCAGTTATAGTACAGGATAAGTGGGTTCGTTGGCTATCCCACAGGCATTGATCTTCCTCTTGACCCTCACGTATCCGTCCTCGCCGTATAGGGTACCCCAAGAGTTCTTCATAATCCAATAGTCTACCCCGTTTTCGCTATCGTCCGATCACCTCTAGCATTGTGTCTTCGTCCAGCTCCGGCAGGACGATGTAGCTTTTGACTCTAGCAGCGATTTTTGACTCGTCGCGGTTGCAAGTGCCATCCACTCCTTCATAGGGGTAATCTTCTTCTGTCTCCACCCCTTGGTCGATCATGTACTGGAACGTGGGACTGACCAATCCACCACCGCAGCCAGTAGCGTTGTATTTCTCGGTTTCGCAGTCGATCAAGTTTTGTTCACTGAACGAGACGAGTTTGTTGTACTTGATGTAATACATGCTCTCTAAATTGGCGATCTAGGAAATGATAGTGTTGATTTATGGAATACCAGGGGTAGTTTCACTTACTGTGCAAAAAGCCCAACATCCACCGCAAAACAATTGATCTCTCACCGGCGTAACAGCACCTTTAGCCCTCCAGTCGATAGCTTTTGGTACTTTTACTCCCTCTGGCTTTTGGAATACTTGAGCGCTAACCTGGGGCAAGCTGTTTGCTCCGTAGAGGCCCAGTAGGGCCGGAAATTCCTCTCTGGTGAGGTCGGCAAATCGATTGACGCCCATTTTGTAACCAACCTCGCCGTTATCGTATCTAGCGTTGTGCTCTTCGATTTTCCTGAGGTTCTCGTTGAAGATGAGGAACCGTTGTTTCTCTTCCACAGTGCTTCGGTAAGATTTGCCGTGTTGAACCTTGAAGGTAGTTTCGTAGCTGATTGCCACCTGGATATGATGGTCTTACCTTGAAGTTTTGCCATTTTTCGTGGACCGTTGCAGCCGCTGCGGCGGAAAACAATATGTAATCAATTTCCCGTGTTCAGTAATAGAAAAAAGTGCTGAAACTGTTCTGAGAGTCCTTGGAAAAAGAAGCTGACCCTCAACAAGCCCGCAACAAAAAACCGAGTAAACAAACCTGCGGGATTAAAATCACAGACCATATGGGAACGTAGGTGGTCGTCTCGATCATCCCAATTTTGCACCATACGTTCGAAATGTTATTTAATCAAAACCATACTGTCCGTGCGCCGCTCAAGAGGTCCAACGCAGGCCCAATCTGGCCACATTTTTACCAATCGACGCGCCCCTTTGGCAAACATCTGCGACAGGTTTTTTAAAAGAGAGTTTCGGACCCGCGGGTCGATAACTCATCGGGACAATGGCCCTAATCACGATTGTTTATCGGTAGACAGTCGGTGCATCGATGACTCCGGCCCGCTATGCGGTTTACCAGGCCGTCGATCGTATATGGGTCACGGCGCACAGTGGAAAAAAATATTCAAAATAGTGTTCAGAAGCGCCATTATTTTTTTAGTGTTGTGGGTGAGGGATTTTCTATATTTTATAATAATAATATTAACAGGTCTTTATTTATATATAAATAAACAACAAGAAATAAAACAGTATAATAGAGGAGGGTGGAGAGACCTAGCAAAGCTACTCACCTAACCACTCTAAAAGAAGAAGAGATTTTATGAATTAATTTACTTTATTGTACCACTATGGAAGAGAGGTTATAAAAATACGTTTATACACATTTTAATAAAAAAAAAGTGAAATACATTTCTATATTTAGTCAGTTCAATGGCACGGAGGTGCTGGAGGGAACTACAGAAATAATCAAAATAAAAAAAAGTAGTATTAATTGGACAGTAGATTAGTTTTAAGACGCTTTTTAAAGTCGGAAGCACTTGATATCATCTGGAATGGAGTTGAAATATTAATAAAAATAAGAACTAAAAGTTCAGATTTTCACGAAATTATATATTTTTAAAATTGTTTCGACAACACCGTGTCTTCATTTAAATATATATAATTTCGTGAAAATCTGGACTTTTAGTTCTTATTTATTTTGATAAATAAATTTTCATCAAGTAAAAGCCACCTCAGTTCAATTGTTGAAATATTTAGTGACTTCATAGCTGAAAGAACTGATAGAGGGCAGTACGGTACTGCAGGACAATATACAGAGAATTGTGACGACTGGGCTACTTGAATATCAGATTCCTTGACAAGTTTTTCAAAAAGATAATAGATAATAATAAAGATCACATAAGTGGAGAAAGAATCGTGGGTCTAATTTATGCCACCCGGATTCCCGATAATACAGTGAAATGTGATCAAATTTCCTAAGATTAGAACAAACCTTAGACAACTGTTTTGCAGTCTCTGCAGTCTTATCTAAACTTTGTTGAAGAGCACTGGCCAGTATACTATTGGGTTGTTCGGAAAGTCATTTCGTTTTTTTTGGGGAACATGAAAGACAGTTTTCGTATAATGAATAAATATTTTATTAAATTATATATTGGCCATTCTGGTTCAACACCTTTTGCCATCTTTCTGGCAGTAACATAATTCCCCTCTCATAAAAGTTTTGGTCCTTGCTGGCAAAAAACTGGTTCAGGTGGTTTTTGACATGTTCATTTGAGGTAAAGGTTTTGCCATCCAAAAAATTTTGCAGGGACCGGAACAAATAGTAGTCGGAAGGCGCCAGATCTAGAGAATACGGTGGACGTTGCAGTACGTCCCATTCAAGCTGTAAAAGTTTTTGGCGAGTGACCAAACTTGTGTGAGGTCTCGCATTATCCTGGTGGAACACTACACCCTTCCTGTTGATTAATTCGGGCCTCTTCTCTTTAAGTGAATCATTCAATTTGTCCAGTTGATGACAATAGACTTCTGAATTAATCGTTGTATTGTCCGGCAAAAGCTCAAAAAAAACGATTCCTTTGACATCCCACCAAACGGAGAGCATCACCTTTTTTTGGTGAATGTTGGCTTTTGACACGCTTTGAGCCGGTTCATCTTTTCTGCTCCATGACCTTTTGCGTTTAACATTGTTGTATACAACCCATTTTTCGTCCCCAGTAATAATCCGCTTCAAAAATGGATCATTTTCTTGACGTTTGAGGAGCAAATCACACACGTCAACGCGACGACACAAATTTCGCTCCGTAAGGACATGGGGCACCCACACATCGAGCTTCGAGGTTAAGCCCATGCCTTTCAAATGGCCATAAACAGTCGAATTCGACAAATTTAATCTCTCACCGATCTCTCGTGTGGTTATTCGCCGATTTGCATCAACTAATGCCTTTATCGCATCTTTGTCAGCTTCGACCGGCCTTCCAGACCGTGGTGCATCTTCGACATCAAAATTGCCGGATCGAAATTTTGCAAACCAGTTCTGGCACTGGCGTACTGTTAACACGCCTTCTCCATACACATCCGTCAATTTTTTTCTCGCTTGGACAGCATTTTTATTGCTCTCCATATTTAAAAGGGCACCAACCAAAAACTACTGCGTAGAATTAATAGAACTTTTTCACACACAAGCCTTGCAATATCAGCTCTCAAGACATATAATGGTTATGCGGCTTAAGTGTGAAGTTGGTTTCGAAAAAACGTAATTAAGTCTCTGACGGGAAAGAACGAAATGACTTTCCGAACAACCTTATATATAACAGTAAGATAAAAGGCAAAGAACAAGAGAGTCGCATAACCTTAGCTTGATGTCTGTATTTAATATATCTTTGAATATGTAGAGAGTTCTTAGTTCCCCATAACTTCTCTAAATTAAGTCACGTGCAATTCGAAACGAAGATTGCTATTAAAAAACTCACCTTAATTCTTGCAAGAATCGGTTAAAATAATGTTCTCATTATATACGGCAAACTTAAAAACAATATTCTAGAACCAGCTGTTTTTTTTCCAAAAAATAATACCTTAGTTTTCGTTTCATTTATGATAAGAGCATGGCCACAAATCAAAATTAATTTGGTTGTTGGCCAGCAGTGAGTCTTCAAACTTAAACGATAATCATCAGCATACTGATGCGATTTCAGATATTTTATATGCTCGGCAAGATCCGCAATCCAGACGGAAAATCGTGTAATATTAGAAAATTGTGAAATTGAGTCACATAAGAATACTCTCCGACTTCGTTCATTTAAATTGCACCATATGTTAAAGACCGTATAAATGTTTAAATATAGACGGTAAAATTAGGAAAATGTTGCAAAATTTAAAGAAATTTTTAATTCATAACCCTAATCTTTATATCAAGACACCTGACCATCGATTTAGCCATGGACCGTAGTCAATAATGCTTAACAAGTTGCCTTGAAATGTCAAACAAATATCAAATATTAATCAAATTAAGTCTACAATATGGACAAAGCGTTTTACAAGCATTGAAATTTCAAATTTAATTTAGTGATTTAAATTTTTTAATTTTCTCAACAGTAGATTATTAAACATAAAATTTTACGACTTTTTTTCTAATTTATGGTGTAAAATACACTGTAATTGTACAAATAGCATCAATGTTTTTTTATTATGGCCGGGGTGTCGCATAGTAGGTTCATCCCGCTTGCACCAGCCCGCCACTTAGTTATGTCGGTTACGCGATACCATAGGGAGGGGGTTCTGCACGCGTGAATAATTAGAATGATAATGGCAGTATATATAAAAAAGATCGGACAAACAAGCGAAGCGAGGGTCGAACTCTTGAGGCACCCACTCGACCTGTCAGGGGGTGGCTGATAAATCTGTTTAGCTAAAGAGAAGAGCAGCGTCAATAATGCATCAATTTTGTTTATTTCGTGTGTGTGTATAAAAAAAGTCCTAATCTAAGCGAGACTGCTTCGGACTACAACACGGGGTAGCTGGGTTGGACGGCGATACCGCACTGATTGACACCCCGACGCATCCTGATGTAGCCGCCCTCTCCAAATGACTCTCCCCAAGAGTTCTTGACCACCCAATAAGGCACACCTCTTTCGGTGCCGTAGCCCACCACCAAGACACCGTGATTTAGATCATCAGGGCTGCAGTAAGAGTGACTGTAAACACCAGACTCGTAGAGTTGGATAGAGCTGGCGTCTATAGCGACGGATACGGGTCCCACGAGTCCCACGGCGGCCTCCAGGTCTTTTTCGCTGTTCGGTCTGACGTCGACGTATGACGAAATCCTGGTGACTACCTTGGAGTTGTCTTGCCTGCAGTCTTCGTCGCTCTCTTCGTAAGGGTAGTCGGCTTCTCGTTCTATGCCGTGATCTCGGATGTACTCAAACGCAGGATCCAATTGTCCACCATCACAACCGGCCAGTCCGTACTTGGGGCCGGCGCAGTCGATCAGGTTCTGCTCACTGAATGAGACCAGCTCCCCGTGTTTGATGAAATACTGACCCTCCAAGGAACCGGTCTATAATTATTTCCCGCTATTGCTCAGAGGTCTCTTTGAAAAGTCGACGCTTACCACTGAGAAGCTCCAGCATCCTCCGCAGGTCCCTTGGTCTTTTATTGGGGTAACGGCACCGGCATCCCTCCAGTCTTTCTTGGTGGGAACTTTCGCTTCCTCTGGTACCTCGAAGATCGATCGAGACGCTGCTTGGGATTTTCCGGACGCGTTGAACGTCAACATGGAGCGGAACTCTTCTTCGGAAAGGTCTGCGAACCGATTGACGCCCAACCTGTAGGTAACCAAGCCTCGATCGAAGTTTGAGTTGTGCTCGTCGATTTTCCGCAGGTTCCCTTGGAAAATGGAGAATCGGAGTTGGTCTTCGAGGAGACCGCGGTAGAATTTTTGATGGTGGCCCTGCGATGCAAAGCATTAAGGGACATTTAAGACCGAACGAAAGTACTTGCCTTAAATTTGTCCCATTTCCCCCAGTCGGATTCGGCCATGGCACTGGTCAAAACCAAACTGACTAAAAGATGCAGCTTCATTGTTGCTATCGTGATGGTGGTATGGCCTAGACGGGTTACCAAATTCCTTTTATAATTACGCCTAGTGCCTTATCGTTGTTTGTCTAGAAATTTGTCATTGAAAAAATCGTAGATAAGAAAAACTACTGCGGTGTGGGGAAACTGGGTGAAAGCAATTCGCGTACAAAAGAATGATATCACGCCGTGACTATTTTCTTTCGCAACGTCTCGTATCTCGAGTGGCTTTTACAGAAAATCGGGTTGATTTACGATTAGAATTCGTATTTGTAATCCGGATATTTTTGAAAATCTATTGTAAAAAACATTAAACTGCCTATTCGTAGCTCATACGGGAGGTATTGATGTGAAAATTTCCATCACCATCACTTCTGGGTGAAGAAATATGTGGAATCCTTCCATGAACGAACATCTACAAGAAGTGAGAGCGCACGTCTTTTGATTTGTTTTGGTTGTCAAATCCAGTGTGATCGAAAAACAACTGAAATTAAAAAAAAAAAACGTTCTGTTTTGATATCATTTCCCACTTGAACGGAGGAAGTTTACGAAAACATTTTTTATTTCGACCTTGAAACTGATATCGACGCCAACGAATTAAATTTCGTTCATCTCATCCTTTATATATTGCGCCGTAAATGATAAAAACTACTAAAATTAAAGCGCTGTTCTGTTTATTATTTTGGTAAAAAATTACATAAATGAAGTTTCAACCGGCGATAATTTAATATAAATAACTGCAATCGACTATTTACAATACGGGATAGCTAGGCTCGTCAGCCAGACCGCAGACGTTCTTGCCCCTCAACATCCTAAAGTAGCCTTTCTCGCCGAAAATGGTTCCCCAGGAATTCTTGAGGATCCAGTAGTCTTGTCCGTTTTCGGTACCATAGCCTACGGCCAAGACGGCATGGTTCAAGTCCCATTCACTGGAGGAGCAGCCTTTTCCGGTGAAAATACCGCTTTTGTACAATTGGATGGGATTGGCGTCGATGGCGACCGACACGGGGCCTTCCAGAGCTACAGCCGACAATAGCGCGTCCTCGTCGAATTCCCTAACATCTACGAAGCCCTTGATCTTGGTCACTTGGTTGGAACTGGAACGACATCTTGCATCCCTGCCTTCGTAGGGGTAATCAGATTCCTTCGCGATACCGTGGTCGATTATGTACTGGAACGCCGGGTCCAAATCACCTCCGTTGCAGCCCTCCATGTCGTATTGGGTAGTGGCGCAATCGATCAAGTTTTGCTCGCTGAATAACTCCAACTTTTTGTTTTTCAAGTAGTAGAAGCCTTCTAGGGAGGCGACTACCGAGAATGCCCAGCAACCACCGCAGGAACCTTGGTCCTTGACTGCGCTTACGGCGCCTTCATCCCTCCAGTCGAAGGATGCGGGCACGGCGGCGTCCAGAGGTTTCCTGTAGACCTGTCTGTCACCGGTCTTGGTGCGGTTCGGCTTCTGGAGTGTCAGGAAGCTTTTGAATTCTTCCGCGGTCATGTCGGCGAATTGGTTCACGCCCAAGGTGTAGGTCTCTTCGCCGTTTTCGTATTTGGCATTGTGCTCCTCGATTTTCCTAAGGTTGTCTTGGAAAATGCTGAAACGCAGAGTCTCCTCCGCCACGTTCCTGTAGACCTTTGTGTGTTGGGTCTGGAATATAGATTAGCTTAGGTTATTTCAAGTTTCATGAATACACAAAATATTTATATGTATTATGGTGACTGATTTGATAATTGAACGGCTTGACTAATATGGTCTACCTTAAAGCTTTGCCATTGTTGGTGGTCAGTCTCGACCGCTGAGGCGACTACTGCCAGCAAGGCTACCAAAACAATCTTCATCTCGATGCGTTGTCTTCGAGGAGCACTGTGCCGGCAATTCGCAAAATTCGGCATATATATACCAAAAAACTGCTGCGCAAAATCTGTTCGGACCACTTCAATACTGACGTGGCTGATTTTTCATAGCCACAGATAACGTCCTTATTCATATAGGCTCAACGATAGAACGAGATCCTACGCGAGGATAACATTCTTCTTATTGTTTGTCGAGTGGTCTGAAAATTAATCTTTTTCGATTGCATGTACGATAATTGGATCACATATCCTATTTTGGAGTGTGAAAAACCGAGAAATACGATTTTGTTCAGCCAGCAATGTGCTTGGAATAAAATTTATGGTATGATTTTGGTACACATTTCTGGACTTAGGCTATTTCTATGATTACAAAACAAAACGTAAGGTAACTTGCTTTTTGGTGAAGGAATCTGCAAAATGTTTTAAAAATCCATTGGGTTAAACTTAATGGTGAACCGTTTCAGTGTTGTCAGATACGAAAATGAATTATTGTTTGATAATTACGGAAGAAGCTAAGGCGACTGTAAGCAATCTGTAAGTTTAAGATCATTTGGAACTTATCTAAAAGGATGAGGTGGACAGGAAACAGCGCGCAAACAAATGAATTAAATTTTAATTTTATCTTTAATCGTATTGGATGTAGAAAAATATTTAACCATTTTATTTCCCTTATTCCCCGTAAAAGATTACATATAGGAGTTGTAAACACCAACAAACTCCCATTTAGAGCAATTGAAGTTAGTTATTGAAAACAATAGCAATTGATGACAGCTTATGACTGGATCCCATCAGCTCTAATTCTTCGATAAAACTACCTCATGCATATTTTTCGACAGGACAAGCTACTCTAAAAAATATAATACTATAATAATATAAACTAACCATGTTAAAAAATTGAGTGAAGCAATCTCCCTTAATCTTCCGACATGTCCACACACACTGCTCAGTCTTCAATGACCATAGAAAATGTGATAATCCAAGCTTAGCTTAATATCTATATGATTCATCACTTGTCATTTGTTTTTCCATCAAGATGGTCCAGTAGTTATTCTGCAAACACCAGTTCGGTTGGTTCGAGATCGCTGGTATAGTCTGGTATTGGTATTGGTATTAAAGGGGGACGCCCTCGCGGGCGTCCAAGCACAGATGGGCCCGTTGTGCCCCCAGGCCGCTCTAGAGGGCCTCCAGAATGCCGCCCCTCCTATAGAACGTCAGCAACTCCTTTAGCCCAATACCATGCACTGAGTCGGGATCGATCAGGGCCGTTCCGAAGACTCCCAATCTTGCCCATGTCAAGGCAGGGCACTCGGTGAGCAGATCCGGGTCGTCTCCAATGCCTAGCAAGCAAAGATTCCTCCTAAGCCTGCAATGTCCTGTGTAGGCCCCTGTTAGTGCTCTACACTCCCTTCTGGTCAGTCTAAGCAGCTTCCTGGTCCGAGGGAGGGCGGGCCCATCCATCATGTTATAATTCCATCGTGTAAATAAGATGGAAAATGCTGAAAAAGAAGCTAGAAGAAGGTGAAACCAATATATATATATATATATATATATATATATATATATATATATATATATATATATATATATATATATATATATATATATATATATATATATATATATATATATATATATATATATATATATATATATATATATATATATATATATATAAGACAAAAGGCAAGTAGAAATGGAACCACACGCATTACACACTTACATTGTTTCCAATGTCAGACGAAAGCACCTTCAAATAAAGGAAAACGCATCACCATAATACACGCTGGGTCAGAATACGGAATATCAACGATTCTAGCTTTGATTATCATGAGGATACAAGTGCCGCACTTTTTGAAAATGTATTTTAAAACAATCTTTTAAAACATATTCCCAATAACAGTGTGCGTGTGTGTGTGAAGTCCAAGAATATTTGTCAGCAAATGATACTAATTTTGAATTCAGCAAAAACTGTGCAGTACTCCAGTGTAAGCTATACTCTGTTTAAAGTTCTTGCGCATGCTCTAGCTAGCTAAACATAACCTCGAAAAACTCGATCGCCGTTAATTCCTCCTGCGTGGAATATAATTTATAAGGCAGGGACGTGTACCATAAATTTAACGGGACTCCTAAATTGGCCCGCTCATGTGTGTGTGTGTGTGTGTGTGTGTGTGTCTACGTGTGTGTAGGTTCGGGTTCGACAAGTGCCGCCCGATCGTCCAATTGCACCCGCGGGATTCAAAATGCAGGCATTCAGATATAATTATTTTGAACAACTGCACAGCTCCGGGTGACTTATTGCGGTTGCATAATCTCCCATCCCCCTGCTGGACTTGCCGTCGGTCTCTGGAATCCACGCACGTAATAAACGATTCGAATATCGTTCTTTGAGCGAATCCCCAAAAGTTGTTTTTGGTCATGGAATGCTTTGCTCTAGTGTGCACTTATGTAGAAGCAAATGGAGAAGAAGTCATTATCAAACGTCCTAGTTACTAGTATACGCGCTCCTCGCTAAACTCGAGATCTCGGTGACAGTATGTCCTACAGGACCGCCATTGGTACAGCGTCGAAAAAACAATTTTTTTTGTATGTCCGTTCTCTGTTCTCTGTTTTTTTCGACGATGACTTCTGAACGGTTTCTGTTACACGCTTCAAACTTTGTTCTTTTTTAAAAGTCCGCAGGGTACATAAGATATGTAAAAATGGCTGCTGTCAAAATTCGGCGTCCATCTTTTTTTTTCCGATTTTCGACTGTTGTTTGGACATTCCTATGAAGCACCATAAATGTCCGAAATTTGTACCAATCGACTTCAAATTTGGCAGACAAATAGCATTTGGTCCTCTAACGGAACCTATTGGGGGAGTTGGGGGGTCGGGAAGTATTTTAAAAAAATAAAACGGACCACGATAGAAAGACAATGCGTCCCTCTAGCCCAACAAACCGCGAAGCGGCTTCCTTTTGATATACAAAGCTGCTTTGTGCTACCCGCTACAAACTTGCCCCGCCCAGCGACGATTTTTCGAAAGTAATCTTGTTATACATGATGAAGGCATATAAAGCATTAGTTATAAATATGAATCTATTAAAAAATATATACAGATATAGATAGAGCAAGACATAAGAAGGTGTAATTTTTAATAGAGCTATCAGCTTGAGGAGGCAAGGGTAAATTAGTTTTCCCTATTCTCCATTCATTCAGATTCGCTCTTACTTTGTGGGTCTACAGCCCGCAGCCATTATCAAAATGGTGTGCAAAAATCCATGTAGCAATTCTGAAGGATGGAGCCATGAAGCTTCCATATCTGTCTGTCTAAAGTGATTTCACTCACGGAAATAAAAATGAGAGATAGCAACTGATGTATCTAATTACAAATGCAGACATTTTGCTTTGAAAATGCTACAGTTACAAGTGAAAGTACTGTCATCGTTTTCGCTGATGTGTTTGATCTCCATGGCAGTTAATTCTTTGTACCTATCTGTCTAAAGTCGAACTCAGACTACTTGGCATATATTTGTTTCCTTTTTTATGTAAATATTTAGTTGCACGAGTGCAAGTCAAAGGAATGACAACTATTTTTACACTTTCCTAACTTATCTATTCTTGGAAACTGTATAGACACGTTGTGTGAGAGAACAGATAAAAGTGACTTCTTATTACAAAATAATGTATTATCTTGACTGTTATCTGTCTTCAATTGACGACATTTATTTAATTACTGTCAGAAAAAGATTACATTTCCTTCGCATTTTCTTTTTATTATCTTGACAAATTAAGTGCCTGGCAGAACAACTCGATCGAATATTAGACATTTCATTTATAATTTTATGATTGCCAGGAGATGCTTTGTTCTGAAAGAGGAAAGTGATAACAAACAGTTAAACCAAAAAAGCCAAAGAATTTTGTTGATATATGTTGCAACACCAAAAGAATCTCTGCCCAGGATTTGTTCGCCTAAAACACTTTTTGTTTTTGTTAAATTGAACTGAGGTGGCTTTTACTTGATGACAATCCATTTATCAAAATAAATAAGAACTAAAAGTTCAGATTATCGGGAAATTATATATTTTTACATGACAATTGTTGCGACAACACCGTGTCTTTATCAAATGTAATATTTACAAACTATCTGCTATTATACATACCGAAAAATTACGATAAAACCTTGATTAACGTTGTTGTGGGAATTTAAGTTCAATAAAGGAGAGGCATTTAAATCTAATTGCCATGGTCATTTTTCGGTATATATAATGGGTGTTTTTTTTTTCGATGTATAGAACTTTAAGTTGGCATTACTGTTCAAGATGGCGACCGGTTTAACAGCTGTCAAGTGATTTATTCTCAGTTTGGTTTGGCAATTCATCAAACGATCATCAGGTAAGGCGTAGATTCGTCTAATGGGCCCAAAACGAGTTTGCCGTTGTTTCCGATTTTTGTTTAGTTTGTTTGGTGGGCTTTATCGGCTGGTGGAATCATTGGTCTGTACTTCTTCAAAAACGATGATGGCCAGAACGTTACAGTCAATGTTGATCGGTATAGAGCTATGATTGCTAACTCTTTCATTCCTGAATTGAGTAACCATGATGTCGTTTCAACGAGACGGCACAACATGTCACACAGCTCGTGCCACAATCGATTTATTGAAAGACACGTTTGATGACCGCCTAATTTCACGTTTTGGACCTGTGTGATTTAACACCGCTAGATTACTTTCTATGGGGCTATGTAAAGTCATTGGTCTATGCGGATAAGCCACAAACGCTTGACCATTTGGAAGACAACATTCGCCGTGTTATTGCCGATATGCGGCCACAAATGTTGGAAAAAGTCATCAAAAAGTGAACGTCCAGATTGAACTACATCCGCGCCAGCCGTGGCGGTCATATGCCAGAAATCATATTTAAAATGTATTGCCACAAGATTATCTTTCGGATAAATAAACTTAATGTCAATCGAATAATCAATCCATCGTTGTTTTATTGCAAAAAAAACACCCCTTAGTAGCAGGAAGTTTAGTTCTTATTTATTTTCTTTTTGTTTGTTTGTTTCCTTTTTTTGGA